CTTTATTGCGATATTCGCTTTATTGCGGTGGTCTGGAACCGAACCCGCAATATCTCCCAGGTATGTCTGTATATAAGGAGTGTGTGTGTGTGCATGCGCGCGTGTGTGTGTGTGTGTGTGTGCGTGTGTCTGTGTATACTTTCCTAAATTTTAAATGGCATAATATATTATACTATATATATTTCATATTTTAAATTTAGGAAACTATAGTTGAGTTATCCTGCTCATAGATGGAAGTTACACACACACGCGTTTTAACTGGAAGTTACTTCAGGAATCAGGATGTTCCCTACTTAGTGACTGACAGATCTTTTTAGTCCCCAAGCTGTAAGCAGGTTGAAGTACCCATTAGAGAAGATGTTTTAGAAAGGCAATTTTCAAATAACCATGGATATATTTTCTATTTTTTCTTGTTGTTTGTGCTATTCTAATCTTGTTTGTTTTGCTATTTTTGTTCTACCTTGCATCTGAGTTTTTTTACTTTTCCATTTTTGGTGGTCTTGTCTTTAATATAAGTATAAAATAAGTAGCAGAGCTCAATTAATGCTATTACAATATTTTTGTAAATACTTTTTAAAATGAAAACCTGTGGCGTGTGCATTTCCACAAATATTTGAATTTTTAAACTTGAATGTCAAAATTGTAGCTGGAAATTAATTTAAAAATGTATATTAATTTGTGATATGTGAAATTTCACATGCTCTGTAGATTAGCTATGAGAGTCAGGTTAGTAATGGGAAACAGTACCATTGCCTGTTCTGCTTATGTGCCCTCTCTCTTTCCCATGCCCTTTGTCTTATCTATTTGGAATGTAAGGACTTAGGGGCAGGGGTGGTTTTGTACTCCGTGTTTGTACAGTGCCTACTGTAATGGGACCTCATTCTCCGTTTGCTCATAGGCACTGTGGTAAGAAACATGATAAATAATAGCAATGGTCAATTAATTATGTGCTTATTATTTTGCAAGACTTAAATGTGACACATTTTGTATTATGTAGCAGTGGTACTTAAGATATTCTAATTTGTATCAACTTTGGCTCATTTGATACTCATACTTAAATATTTGCTGCATTTTTTTATCCCTACAAAACAGATGTGCATTACTGTGTCAGTGAATATTTTTCAAAGATCACTGCTAAAATAACATTTCTTAAAATAATCCCTCAGTTCTGCTTTAGCTCACAGTAACAGAACTTCACTTTGCATACCTTGTGGTAGCCTATGTCTTAATTAAAATCATGAGTCCAGCTATGTCTTGACTCAGTCCTGTTCCTGGAGGATGATGGGAGCTCCCTGTGCCCTCACGGAGCCCCACTAAAGATAGTGATACATCATGTGGGTGCAGGGTTCTGAACTCATGGACCATCTTGAAAACCCTGAGCCTTATCATAGACTTTTATATAACTTTTTAAAGATAATGAAGATGGGTGAGGGTGAACTTTTAAAGATATTCTCTAAAAACATGCTGGATGTGCTGAGATAAGGTTCTCTTCAGAAATGATACAGTATAGTGAGTATTATAATATCACCATAGACTGGACAGACATGGCAGAAAAGTCAGAAATTATTTCCTTCTGCTGGGAAGACCAACATTAATACTCGTTCTTCATTTTATTTTGATAGCATGAACTGAAAAATGGCCATGGCACTTCTTTTCAACAGTGCCTGTGAAATGTAGTCTTTACCTATTAAACTTAATTCCCTTAGATTGCATATTTTGATTTAAATAATTACAGAAATGGAAATCTTAAAAATTAAGCTTATAGCACACAAATGACTATTTAGGTGGCAGAAACTATTTCTCTAAGTTCCCTGAGGAGCAGTCAAGGTGCATCTTTTTCATAGTAGTTCCTAGTTTATATTTGGTTTATGTAGGAAAAAAGCATATGGTAATATAACTTAAAAGGTTTTGTATTAAAGTATAAAATTTCCCATCTGAGCATCTTAAACATGCTTTGTGATAGATACTTGATTTAAACCTGCCAATACCTTGGCAATGTAAGTGTGTTTTATAATTATACAGATGGGTGCATTATAGTACAGAAATGCAGTAGCTATGATTCAGGAAATCATTAAAGCATATTAACTAGACTTCTCATATACTTGAAATCAGGCACATCCCTAAATAGCCGGCTGAAATGGATGTACTTAAGCATACATGTCGAGTTAAGCATGTACTATACAAATGCAGGAATTGTAATTAATCTTTGGTAGAACTGAGACTAGATTCAATAAATCCAAGTTTCCTTACCTGAGCAGAAAACCATTTCCTTCCTGGGCATTTTTCATTAAATACTTTTTACAATATTTTTCAGGTCTAAAGTGTGTATGCCAGTTGTGTGAGCATACAAACTTCACCTGCCAAACTGAAGGAGCGTGCTGGACTTCAGTCATGCTGACTAATGGCAAAGAAGAAGTGATAAAGTCGTGTGTATCTCTTCCAGAATTGAATGCTCAAGTGTTCTGCCATAGTTCTAAAAATGTAACCAAAACAGAGTGCTGCTACACTGACTTTTGCAACAACATAACACTCCATCTGCCAGCAGGTAAACAGCATCTTACTGTTAGGTTTTCCTTGAATAATCTTGACAGAAGGAAAGATATATAGCAATTGTTGAAAGCTTAATAAGCCCTGGTGTGACAAAATGCAAGTAAATGCAAGTTGTAAAGAACAGGTGTAAAACATAAATTTTACAGTATTTCAATAATATTCCAAACCACAAAGGTAAGTCTAATCAG